AAGGTTCAGTCCCTGGCCAGGGAGGACCATCGGGACACCCAGCCCCCTCCCCACCTCAGGGTGCCCCAGCCCTACCTCAGAGGCAACATCATCCTTGATGACGATGTTCCCAATCTTGTCCAGGAGCTGGGCCAGTGAGGTCAGTGTGGTGGACACAGTGGCAATGTTCTCCACAGTGTGGGCCCAGAGCAGGTGGTCCAGTTCCCAGTCAGCCAGCCCCTCATTCCCTGGGCTTTCCAGCAGGAAGTCAGGGGGCAGCTCTTCCCGAGACAGCCCAAAGAGTAACCTGGGAGTAGAGAGGAAGGTCCCAGCCCACATCACAAGCCTGCGTTTCCACAAGCTCCCTGCTCTTATTCCCTGCTATGTTCAGTCCCAATCCTGCTGAATTGCCTCCTGGATTTGGGGCAGGACAAGCCAACCCTCCCACCTTAGGAGATGGGAAATGTGACAGCACCTTTGATCACGGAGCAGTGATGGCCAGCAGCCAGCACCTCAAAGGTCACGAAAAGCCACTCTCAGCCTCCCAGAGCCCACAGTGTGAGGAGCAAATGAGCTGCTTGGGTCCAGCTTGCTCTGACCTCACTGATTTCCACATGGGCCAGGGGAGCACAGAAAGGTTCAGGGAGAGAAGAGAGCATCCTCACCGGAGCTGGGCCAGGAAAACCTCCATCACTCGTGCCATGTCCACGTCCACATGCAGCGGGAGGGAGGCTTGGGAGGAAGCAGGGGCTTCAACGTTGTAAACCTGCAGGAGAGTTATGTCAGTGAGGCACAGCTGGAGCCTCGGGGTTGGCAGGGTCCCCAGCTGGGAATGGGGAACCACCATCTTGTCTGAGCACTGCCAGCACCCCCATGGTCCCATACCATGATGCCACCCCAGCGGGGGCTGTGGAAGGCGTTGGTGCTCACTGGGGCTCCATCCTTGTCCTGGATGTACAGAGGGGAGTGGGAGCGCTCTGGCACGTACAGCAGGAAGTTCAGCACAGGGTAGAGCGAGGCAGCACTGGAGCCTGCAGTGGGACAGAGTCAAAGAGCTCTCCTGGCCAGCAAAGACAGCAGGAGCAGCCCACAGCCCAGCTCCTCCTTCACAGCCAGCCCCAAGTAGAACTGCCACCCTGGCAGGCCTCAGTCACCCTTGCTCCCATCCAGAGCTGCAAGAGGGAAAAGGACACAGGCCACAGGCACAGCTGTCCTCTCTCCCTCAGCAGAGCCAGGAGAGCCAGGTCCTGTGAGGCACATCTCAGTGAGCCATATGAGCACAGTGCTCACCCAGGCGGGCCTCCACAGGGTTGATGACGTGTGGGAGGCTGTGAGCGCTCAGGAGAAAGCTGGAGGATTCCTTGTCATAGCGTGGTGTCACTCCTAGGATGGCATAGTAGAGGATCTGCGGGCACACAAGGGACATGTTGCTGGCAGAGAAGTGCGTCCTGGAGCACCTGGGGCGCCCAGGGCTGGGCTCTCCCCACCACCTCTCCCAGCCCTCACCTGTGAGTCCACAGAGAAGTTGGCCACCAAGCTCAGTTTGTCCAGGACGGGCTTCACGTAGCGGTTCACGGCCCCCTCGATGTCCCAGTCCACGGCGTGGGACTTGGGGTCAGGGTTCAGCAGGCTGAAGGTGATCTCATACCCTGCCGAGGACCCACAACCTGTGAGGCCCCAGCACAGCTACCACTGCCACAGATCTCCCCAGAGCAGCAGGACCCGACCCCTCCTCCCCTGGCCTGCCCCAGTGTGGGGTCACCCACCAGTACCCCACCACAGCAAGCACAGCACAGACCCTGCCCCAGAGACACTGCAAAGGGAAGACCCCGGGGTCTGTTAGCCCAGGAGACATGCAGGGATGCTACAAGTGGAACAGGGAGGGGATCTCCCCCAGGGACAGCAGGCTTTCCGCAGGTCAGGTCCATACCCAGGCTGGATTTCAGGGCGCGCCATGCGTCGGGGCTGAGCCGGCCATCGGGCACACGGTCCGAGAGGGCGGAGGCGATGGAGGCGGCCGTGAAGGACATCACCTGTGTCACCTGCCGGAGGCGGGTGTGGAGGGCAGCCAGGGAGCCCCCAGCCCTCACCAGGGCGCCGCGGTGCCTCCCCACGTAGACGGTGGTGCCCTGGGGAAGGAGCAGGAGAACACCTCAGTGCCACCCATGATATATCCCTCCCCACAGGGCACCTCCGAGGGGTGAAGCACCTCCTACCTGAGGCAGAAGAGAGGAGGTTTCGGGGACCACGTACACGGTGAGGGAGCCCATCGAGACGTCCTGCAGCGGGTGCAAAGCAGCGTCAGCCTCTGGGGAACACAGAGCCATCAGCAGGGTCAGGAATTTCACTCCGATCCCCACCCTGAGACACAGCAAAGTGTGCTCTCTGCTCAGCAGTGACCAGGTGCTCAGCACCTCTCCCCACCAGTCCCTTGCTCCAGTACCTCGTGGAGTGGCGGCAGCCAGAGCTGCCTCCTCCTGGGCTGTGGTGGCCCGATAGGCCATCTCATAGCGGGATGTGACACTGTTTCTCACTACAGGGGGAGAAAAGCTGAGTGAATCTGCTAATCCTGGTCTCCCAAGACCCCTCAGAGGTGTCTCAGAGGGACAAGGGGCAACCCCAGGAGGATACATGCCACAAGGTCCTTTGGGCACCAGCTGGTGACTCACTATGGCACATGGCATCAGATAGTCAATGCAGGCAGCAGGACACCCCCCCATCACCCAGGCACATCCCACCCTCCCAGGGCTCCATTGTCCACATCCCCAGGGAGAGGGGCTGGTCCCTTCCCTGCAGCACGCTGGGGGCCTTGCTGTCCCCTCTGCTCCCGTGCTGAGGAACGTGGGTTTGGAGTCTGGGGAGCTCCAGGCTGCCCAGAAGAGAAGCCAAGGGCAGGCTGGGACCCCTCGGAGAAGAACAAGGGCACCCAGGAGGGACAGACGGGGCACGGAGGGACGGCCGGGTGGGGAGTGGTTTCTCACGGTTCACAGAAATCTCCATCTCCTGCACGTCCCTGAAGGGCAGCGGGCTCGGCAGGTCCCCGGGCACGGACCCCGGGCTGAAGACCACGGCCACGGGCACGACCAGCTGAACCTGCACAGGGGCAGCGTCAGCGTGGGCCCCTGAGCCCCTTCCAGCCCCGGCCCCGGCCCCTCCCGGCTCTCACCGGCTGCTGGCCCAGCCCGTCGATGTCCGCGTAGGGCAGCGCGGCGCGGTAGGTCTCGGTCGTTCTCCACCACAGCGGCAGCCCCAGCACCACGGCGATGGTCGCGAAGGACAGGGCGGCGCGCCGGCCCCGCGCCCGCTCTGTGGGGACAGCGCTTCAGCACCGGTCCAGCTCCCTGCACCCCGGAGGCGGGGGGTTGGGGGCAGGAGAGAGCGAACGAGGGAGCGTCGGGCCCTCCCTCCCACCCATACCTGCTTCGTCCGCGGCCATCGCCGCCGCCGCGGCCGCCGCCGCCATCTTCACTTCCTGGTCCGGCCGGAGGGGCGTGCCCTGAGCCCAGCCCAGCCACTCAGCGCTCGCCATACCCAGGGCAGCCAATAGGCGCGGAGTGCGCCGCTCAGCGGAACAGACAGGCGGGCAGAAGGACCAATCAAACCATGCCCCGGCCCTGAGGAGGCGGGCTTTGCGCTCTACGAGTGCCGCGGAGGGACAAACAATGCCGCCGCCTGCGCGGACCGGCAAGGGGCTCCGGTGCGACGTCAAGCGCCAGGACCGGGAGTGGAGGACACGTGGAGTGGGGAGCACAGGGCCTGCTCAAGGGCTCCTCGCCCTCCTCGTGGTCCACAGGGAGAGCCTAACCAGCCCCGCGCCGAGCTCACAGAGCCTCCCGATGGCAGTGGGCGGGCTGAGACTGGACACAGCTCATTGCACGAGTGAGCACAACAGGCTTTGGATGGTGCTCGGAGCGGGCAGCCCAGAATGGGTAGCTCGTGGTTCCCGGGCGGCCCACGGCGAGGAAGGAGGCGGCGCAGCGCTGTCTCTACCATTTATTCGTTGTTAGGCTATTTGGTACACGGGGTGCACACACGGCGAACACAACACAGGCGCCCCCGAGGGCGGCGGCGACCAGGACTGCAAAGCTACGGCAGGGCAGGGGCACCCCCAGGCCTCCCCTCCTGCCCCCCCACGCGGCCTTGCCCTACTCTCCACCCTCACAGCCCCGCCGGAGCCCCCTGCCAAAGGGGCAGCCGGGCGGTTCCCTGCAGGGCCCGGGGGAACCCGGACCCCCAACTCCAAGCGCGGGTGCGGCGGCGTGGGGCCGGCCCGTCGGCACGCTCCCCTTCCCCTCCCCGCGTGGTGGCTCCCCTGGGTGGCTGGGGTGGAAGCGGGGTGTGAGCGGTGGCGGGGAGGGGGCCGGGGCGGGGGGCCGGCGGGATGCCCGGCCAGGGCTCAGTATGCGTGGTTGGCCACGTAGAGGGACTGCCCGGCGGCTCCCGAGTCGTCCCCGCTGCCCTCGTACTTGCCCAGCGCCGCCAGCCCGTTCACCTGCAGGGAAAGGAAATGTCAGTGGTTTCCCCCCACCCCGTGGGGTTTGGCCCTTGGGGTCTCCCAGTCCCTGGGGTCACAGCTTTTGGTATTCCCCTCCCACGGGGACAGGGCTCTTGGTGTCCCCCATTTCACTGGGCATAATGCTTGGCATCCCCCATCATCTCGGTGCCAAGGACCATGATCTGGTCCTTGGCACCACCCAATCCCCTACTGGGGACACAGCCCTCACTGTCCCCCATGGAGACAGTACTGTGTCACCTCCTCAGGGTCTGTGGTCCTTGACATCCCTTGTCCCATGAGGCACAGACCCTGTGGGACGTGGTCCTCAGCATCCCCCTCACCCATGGGTTCACAGCCCTCGGCGTCCCCGCCATCCTGGGGGATACAGCCCCCTCTGTTTTTCCACCACCCCATGGTGGCACAGCCCTCGGAGTCTTTTATGATCCCATGCACACACAGCCCTCAGTGTCCCTATCACCCCACGGTGACACAGCCCTTGGTGCCCCCACCACCCCAGGGGATGCAGCCCTCGGTACCCCCTCTCGGGAGGGCCACCCCCATCACCTCTGCACGCTTGACAAACTCCTCGGTGGCAGCGTCAGCGTTGTCACTCTGCCCACGCCAGGCGTTGAGTGCCGACGCCTGCAGCGCCCGCCCGTAGGAGAAGGTGAGGGCCCATGGCCGCACCAGCGGGCACGTATTGATGGCATTGAGGTTGATGGAAGCCTCCTCCTCACTCTGACCCCCAGACAGGAAGGTGACACCTGAAGAGAGCAGGGTTATGGCACGGGGCAGGGGGACACAAGCCATCCCCCTCCTGGTCCCTGCCACGTCCCAGGGCTGGTACCTGGCACGGCTGGGGGCACAGTGCGGCGCAGAGCGGTGACAGTGGCCATGGCAATCTCCTCAGGACTGTACTTGGTGGGGCAGGAGTGCCCAGGGGTCACCATGTTGGGCTTCAGCAGGGTCCCCTCCAGGTAGACGTGGTGGTCGCTCAGTGCCTTGTAGACAGCTGCCAGCACCTGGGGGAGGACGGGCAGTGTGGAGTCCCCCCAGCAGGGCACAGCACAGCTTAGTGCCCACCCTGCTGCCACCCTACCACTTACCTTCTCAGTCACATACTGGCACCGCTTGAGGTCGTGGTCACCATCAGGCAGGATCTCCGGCTCCACGATGGGCACGATGCCGTTCTGCAAACAGCAGGCAGATGCCATCATGGTGATGTCCCTGGGCATCCCCCAGCCCCCTGGTAATGTGGGACACTGCCCACAGCCAGGGAGCGATGCTCATCGCCAAGGCTCAGCCCTTGACAGTGATGCCCAGCCCCATGGGGGAACACCCAACCTGGAAGGGTCAATTCTTGTCCCCATGGAGCAATGCCTGTGTCGGTGAGGTGATGCCCAGCCCCACGTAACAATGCCTGGCCCCGTGGACTGATGCCTGATCCCATGAGTGATGCCCACCCCACAGGGCAATGCCTAATCATCCACGTGAGGTGTTACCTGGCGCACAGGTCATGTCCCGCCTCACCCATGGGATGATCCCCAGTGGTCATCAATGCACGGGGTCAGTGCTGAGCCTCATGGATCTAGGCCTGCCCCCATGAGGCAACACCTGCCCACCCAAGTTAATACCCATCCTATCCATCACCCGCCCTGCGGGGCGATGCCTGCCCCCAGACACAGACCTGCTGGCAGATGCTGGCGTAGCGGGCCAGGACGTTGGCGTTCTCCATGATGGCGAGCGCGGAGGGGGTGTGCTCGCTGATCTTCAGCACGCAGCGCCACTTGGCAAAGTCAGCCCCATCCTTCTTGTACTGGGCACAGCGCTCCCACAGCCCATCCAGACCTGCCGGGCAGTGCGTCAGCCCCACAGCCCCAAACCCGCGGCCCCACACCTCCCGGCCTCAAGCCCCATCCCCTGCCTGCTCTACCTACCCTGAGTGGTGGTCTCGCCATCTGTCCCAGCCAGCGGCACGACACCCTTGTCCACCTGTGGAGTGAAGGGAAGGCGGTGCTGAGCCCCCACCGGCACCCTCCAAGCATCCTCAGCACCCCACAAACCCACCGGACACCCCCCCACACCTTGATGCCCACGACGATGCCCTTGTCCTTGATCATCTGGACGAAGGGGGTGCCGTCGTCAGCCTTCTGGTACATGGTCTCGTGGAAGAAGATGACCCCCCCGATGCATTTCTTCACCCGGCTGTCGGCGCTGAAGAGGATCTGGCGGTACAGCCGGCGGTTCTCCTCCGTGTTCTCCACCCCAATCTGGTTGAGGCGCTTTGCCATGCTCCCTGAGGGCACCCAGCAACCTCGTCAGCCTCCAGGGTGGGGAAAAAGGGGTGGCGGGGCAGATCCCCCCCTTTCCCCAGACTGACCTACGGACTCATCGGCTGCCAGGATGCCCTTCCCGGGGGCCACGATCCGCAGCGCGATGTCCGACAGCTCCTTCTTCTGCTCGGCCGTGAGCGCGGGGTGTTGGTGCGTCATGGTGGCGGTGGCTGCGAGCGGACGGGGACTGAGTCACGCACCACCGGGGCGGCTCCCGAAACCACACGTACCCGCCTGCCGCGGGGACCCGGGACCCTCCAGGGGGCTGGGACCCCCGCCCCACCGGTCAGGAGATGTTGTGTAAGCCTCGTGGCGGGCATTCGTGGAGGATGCCGGGCAGTTCCCAGCCATTTTGCTGCCTTGCCAGCCCGCCCCCAGCCCAGCCATCTTGAGGGAGCGCAGTTCTGCGGGGACCGGGGCAGGGCCCCGAGGGCAGGGGGATGGGGATGAGGGTACCTTGGGGCCGGGAATATTCTGTGGAGGATGGAAACAGCCCGGGGATGGGGATATCAAGGGACCGGAAATACCCCGGGAAAGAGGGAAGAAGAGACCCCAGGGAGGCACTACCTGCGTCTTGCGGTACCTGGGGCTTGGGGTACCCCGGAGACGGCGATCCCCCCCAGGGCCGGGGATACCCCGCCGAGAAGTACACGGGGAATGGCGATAACCCGGGGGGACGGAAATACCCTCGGAATGAGGAATGGGGAGCCTCCGAGGGGCACAACCCGGGGATGGAGGTACTCGGAGTTTGGGGCACCCCAGGGATGGCGATACCCCGAGGCTGGCGCCGTCGCGGGGCCGGTGATGCCCCCGGTAACTAGCGCTCCCCTCGGGGCAACACATTCCCCGGCCGGCACCATCGGGACTCGAGCTCCGCCAGCGCACGAGGAGTCTCCGGGGTCTCCCCAACCCCCCAACACCCCCATGTCCGGGGGTCCCTCTGCCCTGGAGCCCCCCAGCCCTGCCCGACCCCCGGGAATGCCGCGTGGAGACATCCTGGAGGCTCGGCGGGGCTGCCGCCTCCCGCCGCCGGCGCCCCCCAGCAGCTCCCCCCAGCCCCCCGGCTCCCCCCGACCCCCGGCTCCCCCATACCGTGTAGGGCGGCGGCGGCGGGCACGAACTGCGGGCTGCGCGCTCCTGCCCCGCGGTAAATGTGGCTGCGATGCCGCAGAGCTACGTGACCGGCGGGGCGGCACCGGGCAGGACCAGCCCCCGGGCCCGCCCCTTGCCGCCCCCGCCCCCGCCGGCCACAATCCCCCCGGCAGGGTCGCGTCCTCCTCCCTCCCACCCACCCCCCTCCCCCGCCGGCATCAACTCCCGCGCTGGTGGGGACCCCAGGGTGACAACCCCGGGCTGGGGACCCCGTTGTACCACCATTTTGCAGCCCCTCGCTGTGATGGGGACCTCTCTGTGCTCCAAACACACACACAGAGTTCAGGGACAGAGCTGAGTTACCCCCTGCCATGAGCAGGGCCCCCCGTGCCACGCAGGCAGCCCGCTGTGCTACCACCAGTTGCTGCTGGAGACCCTTCTGTGCCACAGACCCCTACCTGGTTATGGGCAGGGACCTCCTCTGCCACCCCCTTGCTACTGCTGGGGACCCACTGTGTGCACCCTTATTGCCACTGCCAGCTAGGGGCAGGGACCTCCTGTGCCACCCCCAGGCTGGGGGCACTGTGCCACCCCACTGTTACTGCACCAGACACCCCGTCTGGGTCACCTCTGCGACCAGGGGCCAAGCCCCAGCAGCACTGAGCCCCAGAACCCCAGGACAGGGTGGGGGCACTCACTGGAGACCAGGCCCCCTAAACAACAGCCTAGAGCCAGCAGAGAGGGACAATACCAGTGTCCCCACTCGCCCCACGGGGACAGCTGCCAGGGCCCCACTGTGCTGAATCCCGCTGTAAAAGGACGGCTCAACCGCCTCGCGTGGCCCTAATCCAGGGAAAGGAGTGCATTTCTCCCTGCATCCCAGAGCCAGGAGCCCCCACTGCCAGCCTCACATCTCGGGGGGCCATACCCTACCCCACTGCTGCCAGCAGGGTCACAGCCAGAGCAGGGAGAGGTGATGCCAGGAAGCAGGTTGTGCCACTTCCCCACAGGCCACCCACGCACCTGGGGAATAGAGGCATGGCCCCAAACACCTCCATTTCCTAGGGAAAACACCTCCATTCCCTGGGGAAATCAGGGTGCTAGGACCCCGGATGTCACATCCCCGCCTCGCACAGAGCGCCAGGGCTGTGGCAGAGGGCAGGGGAAGGTGATTCTCTACCCTTGGGCAGGAGAAACAGGCCATTAAAAACCAGAGCACTTGTTTGAGTGCTGCTATTTTGGGCAATCCCAGGGGAGGGAGGCGCCGTGTGGTCCCCACGGCGGTGGGGAGCATCCTTGGGGTCGGGAACACCGGGATGGGGATCCCCCAGGAGCTGCCCTAGCATCGAAGGAGGGAGGTGAGGTTGGAGCTGTGCTGGGAGCAGGGGAGCCCCTAAAGGGAGCCCCCCTCCATGCAGCAGCGGGGGACAAGGGGGGGGTTGGGAGCAGGAGCTGGCAGAGCTCCCAGTGCTGGCTGAGCCATGGGATGCTGCCTGCTGGAGCCATGCTGGGAAGGGGAAACATCCCTGTGCAACAGGCGTGTGCCCACAGCCCCGTGAGGGGGAGCAGGATGCAGCCTCTGGAACCATCCTGACACAATAGGCATGAGCCCACAACCCCACGATGGGGGTGTGCAGGATCCAGACGAGCCCAGTGGAGAGGGAAGGAGGAGGGGGGTCACAGAGGGAATCTAGGGCAAGAGGAGGAGGGGGGACCCAGGGAGGGAAGCTGGCTCAGCCTGGGCAGTCCGGCCGCTGCCAAGGCCGCAGGGTGGGAGCCTGGGGAACGCAGCGCCTCATTGAGAGCAAGCACTGGCAGCAGGGGATGTGTCCCCCGCCAAGAAGGAGAGGCCCTGGGGTGGCAGAGAGCTGTGCCCACGGCCCCGTGACGGAACAGGAGCAGCCGGCACAGGCTGGACAAGTTGTCCCCACCCACAGCACCAGGAGCTTCCTGAATCCACGCCCCAGGCAGGATAAATGCCAACAAAAACTTTATTCAATAAACAATTACAACAGTAAAAACAGTAAGGTTTTAGTAAGACAGAAGAACAGAAAGGTTTTAGGCTATGGGCTATAGTGGGGACTCATCAGCTTCCTTGCTGGCTGGCTTCAGGCCCAGGTACCACAGCAGGCTGGGGAACTCCTGGCAGACCACTGCCACCTCAGGGATGGCTGACAGGACCTGGGGAGAGCAGAAGCATGAGTGGCAATGTTTGGGAGGGGAGGTGGTGTTAACGTAGTCACAATAAGGGTGAGCAATGAACCATATATCTCACCTCTTTTATCTTCTCCTTCATCTCCTCATGGGTCCTCAGCTCTTTCTGGGCATGATGGAGCCTCACCTCCTGCAGTGGGAGATGCCTGTCAGGAGTCTGCTCCAAACCTGGGCAGGGATGAGCCCAGAAGGGAGAGGGGACCCCTGACCCTGTCAGGGAGGTTGGAACTAAATGATCTTTAAAAACATCCCTTCCAACACAAACCATTCTGATTCTATGACTGGAGCTAAGGCAGCCCCTTGGGGTTCCCCATACCTGCTCCAGGTACTTGTCATAGAGCAGACGCTTCTCATCCCGTTTTTCCAGGAGCAGCAGCCGCAGTTTATCCACCTGCAAAAGGAGCAAGCGCTGCTGAGATCACTGTGGGGAAAGAGCCCTGGGATGGGGGTGGGGGCTTGTTGCAAGGACCAAGGTTTAGAGAGCTCTTCTTGTTTGTAGCGGGGTTAGTGCCAGGAGGAGCCCTCAGCAGCCCCCTGGCCTCACCTCCTGCCGCAGCAGGACCCGGTCCTGGACATGGGCCGTGTCAACCTTGGGTTCCTTCCCCCGCATCTCCTCCCACAGCACCTTGGCCTCTGTCTCTGCACGCTGGAGCGAGCGCTTCAGCTGGGAGACCTCTTCCTTCAGCATCTGTGGGGGTAGAGGAGATGCTGAGAGAGGTCCTGGAGCCAGCAGCCCCCTGAGGTGCAGCCCAGCCTCGCCCCCATCACACACCGTGACTTCCCCACTCTTGTCGATGAGTTGCAACATCTTCTCTTCCTGCTGTTTCACCACGTCCTGCAGCTCCTTCTCATTCTGCAAGCCAGGAAGAAGTGGTGTCAGGCAGTGCCCGGCCCTGGCCACCCCCAGCACCCTGTGGGGGAGTGGGTTTTCTCATGTTCAAGAAGGTCAGACAAGCCAGAGCACCCATGGGGCATCACCAGATTTCTCTGTGTCCTAGATCAGCGCCCGCCCCAGTTCGGCTCTGCCCTGGGGTGAGCACTGGCCCACTTCTGGCACAGCTCACCTCGATCTTGGTCCTCAGTGCCTTGTTCAGCTTGGCAATGGTGGCAGCCTGGGCATCCATCTTCTCCTGGCTCTTCTCTGTCACCGTCTCCAGACGGAGCTGCAAGTCAGAACTGGGAGAGGACAGTGGTGATGAACAGCTGGGGATCACAGCAGAGCACAGCACCAGGTACCAAACCCCTTTCTGGGCATCCCATCAGCCCCATGATGTGAGAAGACACCTGTCCAAACCCAGCCAGCTGGAAAAAGCCCATCTAGGCATGGCAGGAGAGGTCTAATCCAGAGCTAGGGTGAGAGGCAGACACAGGCAGGCTGCCTGCAGGAGAAGCCATGCCCAGGAGAGTGATGTCCCTGTCTGGCCTTTGATGTGAGCCCCTGCTGAACTCACATTTCCATCTGCAGTGCCTTGAACTCGCTCTGCTCCAGCTCTTGGATGCGGAAGCTCAGCATGGAGAGGTTGGAGACCAGAGCTCTCAGCTCTTTGACGCTCTCCAGCAGACTCTCCTCGGGATCTGCAGGCAGGGAAGAGCCTCGTGAGTGGCACAGAGGGAACATCAGCCCCAGGGGACACAGAGGAAGGCGTGCCTGCTCATCGCTCCATGCAGCAGCACTGCAGCTTTGCAGCAGGGTCCAGGGCAAGGTGACAGCCCCAATACCTTTTGCCTTCGGTGTGGATGTAAGTTTGTCCCTGCTAACAGCAGTCTCGCCTCTGGTGGCTTCACTGGCATCTGCGAGAGGAGAGGACAGAGGCTGTGCCCAGCCCTGTACATCCCCCAGAATGGGAGGGAGCAATCCCCATCCCCATGCCCCAAAACCCAGGCAGGGGGTGCCAGCTCACCTTTCCCTGACACGGCTTTCAGGACGCTGCCCACGAAGGAGCTGCCGGCGCAGTGTGGGGTGCGGTGCGCGGGCACGCGGAACCCAGGGGTCCAGGCACGGCGGGGTGTCTGCCAGCCTGTGGCCTGCTGTGATGGGGTCCAGGCTTTGCTTCTCGATGGGGCATCATCGTTATCCTTCAGAGGGGAAGGAGAGCACAGCGCCAGAGTGCAGTTTGTGACTGCCCCAGCAAGCACGGGGGTCTGGAAGTTACACCATGGAGAGGCGCGGGTGTGTGACCGCCCCTTGTCCCCAGCACAGGGTTCCTACCTGCTCTTCTAGAACGGTCTTGAGGCAGTCAGCGAGCTCCTGCAGCCGCGTGTGGCACTCGGCAATGTCCTTGGAGCACCAGGAAACTTTGCTCCTCTTCATCTGCACACTGAGGAGCTCGGCCTTGGTGCTCTCTAGCTCCTTGCTGAGGGCAGCGTGCTCTTCCCTGTGGGATGGCATCAGCCTCAGCAGGAGCAGTATTCCCCTTCCTTGATGTGGGGTGGGGACATTTCTCATGCCTGTGTCTCACCATGAACCAGCAATGGTGCAAATCCTACAAATTTGGGCAGCTTTCCCCAAGATGGGGTCTCTGTTGGGCTTCTCCAAGTGTCTCCCACCCACCTGGACAACCACGCTTGGCTAGGGCATAGCCATGGTCCCCTGTGTCCCCCCCATCCCACCAGGAAGGGCTTGATTTCCTAAAAATAGAGGGGTTCAAGCGGAGGTGGTGAGTGGGGCAGTACCGCAGGCGTTGGTGGGAATCCATCAGCTTCTCGTGCTGCAGGGTGCGCTCCTGCAGAGTGGCCTGTGTGGAGTTCAGCCTGGCCTCCACCTCTAGCAGCTGCATGCGGGACATTCTGTTCTCCTGATCGAGGAACTGCAAGAGGGTGGAGGGGCATGGCCATGAGCAGCCAAAGGGAGACCCGGGGGGGCCCATTGGGACCCCCAGCACAGACCCTCCCCTGCCTTGGGGTGCTGTTTCCAATCAAGGGCAGCTTTATCCCAGCAGATAACTCCTGGAAACCAGTTTACAGAGAACATAGGACAGGCTGGGGGATGGCTCCATGCCTGCAGGGGAAAATTATCTTGAAGAGCTGCCCAGCCCCCTCCGGGGAATCACCCGCTGGGCAGGATGAAAAGCTGCGCTACGTGCGGGATGTCAACCCGCCCTGCCCTCGAAGGCTCATCCCCCCTCTGCAGGAGGGCTAATCCTGCTTCTGGCCGGTTGCCAGCATTCTGGAGAGGCCATCATGGGGGCCAGCAGCGCGTGACAATGTGGGCAGGGTCAGGCAGCTCTTACCTCTCGGCACTCGGTGGCCTCCAGCAGCTCCTGGCACAGCTCATCACACCTCCCCTTCAGGGTCCTGTTCTCCTGTGCCAGCCTATGGGAAGGGGATGGGGTCAGGAAGTGCTACATTTTGGGGGCAAGGAGTGAGAAGGGGCTCAGGACCCCAGGGCTCAAACCCACTCATCCATCTGCTCCTGCTGCTGCTTGTTGTTCTGCTGCAGCGCATCCCGCTCCTGTTCCGCACTGGCCAGATTTCTCATCACGGTGCTCAGGTCTGCAAGGGACAGACCCATCAGTGCAGAAGGACAGGGGTAGTTGGGATGGGGCAGCTACAAACCCCCACGCCACCCACCCCTACCTGTTGCAAGGCGTGAGTTGGCCTCTGTCAGCTGCTCCAGCTGAGCCTCCACGTCCTGCAGGGCCACCGAGGTCTCCTGCAGCTGGCAGGACACCTGTGGGGGCACAGCACTTGGTTTAGGCTGCTCATCCCCATGGAGTGCCCCAAATCACCCTGTGCCTCGGACATCACTCAGCACCAGGTACCTCCCTACCTCCTCCCTGGCTTGAAGAGCTTCGTCTGCTTGCTTCCTCTTGGCATCCCGCTCCTCCAGGCAGCTCCGCAGCTTGCTGGGCACACGCTCCAGCACAGCCTTGCACCGGGACATCAGGGCCCTCACCTGCTCCCGCTGGGAAGGGAGACAGCACCGGGCAGAGCTCAGTGTGGCACTGGTGGCACTGCCCTGCTGTGCAGACGGGCTGCTCATGGCACAGAGCACTGGCAGGGCAGCGAGGGGCTAAGCCCCCTCTGGGACACCCCTCACCTCCACATGCATGGCTTTCCTTTCCTTCTGTAGATTTTGAAAGGTGACATCAATGATTTCCCGGAAAGTCTGAGTCTCAGCAGACAGGGATTTCTGTGGGGCAGGAGAGAGATGAGTCAGCAGTGCCATGGTGGAGGAAGCAACATTTAATAGCCACGTGGGGAGACAAGTGACAGCCCTGAGGCTGAATTTGCAGCAGCTTCCCAGCAGCAGCATCAGGAAACCTCCAGTACATCCAAGCCCATCACAGAGCATCACCCAGGCTCAGGACAAGGGGATGCCCTTCCAGCCCCCTGACCACCCAGGTGGGGGGCAGCTGGGGGTACCACCCCACTCAGTACCTGCAGGTCGGTGGCCTCTGCCAGCAGCGTGCACAGCTCCCTCTGGGAGAACAAGCTCTGGTCACGGGCACTGATCTGGGCGCTAGCATGGGCACGGAAGGCCTCCAGGAAACAATATCCCTGCAAGGGAGAAGATGCTGCCCCCAGGCATGCTGCTGCATGAGGGGCAACTCCTGGGAGCCATTTCTGCGTGCTGTGCCAGCCTAGGATTCCTGCTCCCCATGGGACACAGCCCACACCAAAAACCCATCCAGAGAGCTCCATTGCCCCACACAGCCACAGCACCCTTGGCCTTCCATAATGGGTTTTTCCCCTGGGATGCCAGGAGACCCTCACTCCTCAGAGAGGGGCAGAGACACAGGATACCTCATCAAAGGCATGAAGACAGCAGAGACTACTGCCAACAGGTACCCCTTTACCTCCTCCTTTGCTCGTAGGGCTTCATCTGCTCGCTGCCTCATGGCATCCCGCTCCTCCAGGCAGCTCCGCAGTTTGCTGGGCACTCTTTCCAGCATGGCCTGGCACCGGGACACCAGGGCCCTCACTTGCTCCCGCTGCAGGAGACAGCACCATGAGACACTGGAGACAGCTGTCGTGGGTGCTGGCAGCACCAGCATCTCTCAAAATCCAGGGGAAAGGGGAACCAGACTGACGTGTGAGGGCTCACCTCCTGTGCAAGGGCTCCCTTCTCATCCTTCAGTCTCTGAAAGGCGGCATCCGCAACGCCCCGGAACAGGAGACACTGGCTGCTCCAGGCACTCTAGGGAAGGGACAAGGACACTGGAGTCCCAGCAGCACTCCTGTAGCTGGCACAGACAGCACCAGGCACACACATGTGCCCTGCCCAGCTGAGACCCAGCACACTCATTGCACACAGCCAGTGAGACACACTATGTTCTTGGTAGCCAGCTCCAGCTCCTGCTGCAGATCCTGCTCCGCTTCCTGCTGCCGCTGCAGGGCCGCTGTTTTCTTCCGTTGCTCGAGGTAAAGGTGGTGGTAAATCTCCTCCTCCTAAGGGCATCCAGCAGAGCAGAGAGGGTTTCGCACCAGCCCCACTCCACCCTGGATCCAGCAAGAGCTGGTCAGGATGTCATCTCCCACCCTCCCTCTGTGTGTGCCAGGGATGTTTCCCCCCCATGAGGGTTCAAATCCAGCAAACTCAGCGGGTTGATCCAGGCGTGATAATGCAGCACCGGGCGCGTGATGCTGTGCTGCAGTAGCCCTGCTTTACTTCCACTCCACTGGGCCGAAGCCCAGCCGGGGTCACCGTCTCGCCAGCGGCACATGGGCACTGTCACGGCACTGAGGCTGCGGGGAACGGGGTGGCATCACCTGGGAGAGGACTCTTACCCCTTCAGGGCAGGTGATGTCCGTCTGTGTGATCATGTCCCTCTGCTCAGCCGGCCCCACGCCAGGCAGCAGCCGCTGGCTCCCCAGCCAGTCACGCAGCTGGAGCGCCAGGGCTTCCATGATGATGAGGGTGCTCTCCAGCCGCCCCTCCAGCTCTGCCCGTGGCAGAGTCTTCAGCTGCTCCCGGGGACAGCTGGGGACAGAGAGAGGGCTTAGGGCAGGGACAGCCCACAGGTGCCACAGCCCCAGCCAAGGGGATATGTCCTCATACTTACTGCCAGAGCAAGGAGTCCGTTTCAGTAGCACTGTCCTTGGCACAGGGCAGGCCTCCCCCAGATGTGTTTACACTCCTTTCCCACAGGTCCTGGATGGCCACAAAAGTGCCAGCAACCCCACTGGGCACTGGGGTCATGCTGGTGCCGGCCGCCACACTGGACACTGGAGTCATGCTGGTGCCAGTGACCATGGTGGCCACTGGGGTCATGCTGGTGCCGGCCGCCACGCTGGACACTGGGGTCATGCTGGTGCCAGTGACCGTGGTGGCCACTGGGGTCATGCTGGTGCTGGTCGCCACGCTGACCACAGGGGTCACGCTGGTGCCAGCCACCACACTGGACACTGGGGTCATGCTGGTGCCAGTGACCGCAGTGGCCACTGGGCTCGTGCGGGTGCCAGTGATGGTGGTGGCCACTGGGGTCGTGCTGGTGCCAGCCACCACGCTGGACACTGGGGTCATGCCGGTGCCAATGACCACAGTGGCCACTGGGCTCATGCTGGTGCCAGTGACGGCAGTGGCCACTGGGCTCATGCTGGTGCCAGTGACCGCAGTGGCCACTGGGGTGACACTGCAGTTGGCATCTTGCTGTGGCATGTGGAGGGGCAGGCTGTGCTGCAGGGATTCCATCAGGGATGGGACATTAAGGGTCTTCTCCAGCCACACCAGCGGTAACATCCAGGACACAGCACCCAGGGCTGACTCAGGAGAGGTGACAGGGGCAATGGTTGCTTCTGACCCAGCAGGCTCCAACATACTTGCCCCAATGGAAGCGAGTCCAGGTGGGCTCTGCTCTGGGGGGACAGGGGACTGAGCTCCCTCAGGGGTGCCTTGGCAAGGCAGAGGACCAACACTCCTATCTCCAGATAGGGACTCGGAGGCCACAGAGCTGCAGGAAAAGTCTGGGGGTGCCACTTGCCACCCATGGAAAGAAGCTTTCTGTGGGGTGAAGCTGGTGCCGGGAGGCCCTGGGGTGCAGGGTCCTATGAAGGAGCTGCACAGGGGAGCTTTCATGGCACTGCCAGGGGACTTAGGGGTGCTGGCCACAGGGATGGAGCTGCACAGCGGGGCTGGCACAGTGTTTCCAGAGGACTCTGGTGTGCTGGCCACAGGGATGGAGCTGCACAGGGAAGCTGGCACAGTGTTTCCAGAGGACTCTGGTGTGCTGGCCACAGGGACGGAGCTGCACAAGGGAGCTGGCACAGTGTTTCCAGGGGACTCCAGGGTGCTGGGCACAGGGATGGAGCTGCTCAGGGAAGCTGGCACAGTGTTTCCAGAGAACTTTGGGGTGCTGGGAACTGGGATGGAGCTGCTCAGGGAAGCTGGCACAGTGTTTCCAGAGGACTTTGGGGTGCTGGGAACTGGGATGGAACTGCACAGGGAAGCTGGCACGGTGTTTCCAGAGGACTTTGGGGTGCTGGGAACTGGGATGGAACTGCACAGGGAAGCTGGCATGGTGATGCTGGGGGGCTCCGTGTTGCTGAGCCTCAAGACCAGGCTGCACAAAGGTGCTGGCACAGCATTGTCAGGGTGCCTTGAGGTGCCAGCCTCTGGAATAGGACTGCCAGGGGCCTCTGGGCTGGTGCTGATGGGGGGCTCCAAGGCACCAGGCATTACGGTGGGGTTGCTGGGGGCCTCAGAGGCACCAGGCTTAAGGATGGGAGTCCTGGGGATCTCTGATGTGCGGGGGCCCAGGGTAGAAGTCTGGGAGGACTCCAAAACGGTGCTGTTGTGGGGCCCAGGGGTGCAAGGCATTGGGGTGGTGCTGCTGGGGGGGACCGAGGTAGCACTTCGTGGAGGTCCTGGGGTGCAAGGCACCGTGGTAACGCTGCTGCGGGAGCCCCGGGCACGGGACACTGGGGTGGCACAGTCACCATCCTACAGGACATTTGGGGGGAAGGGGATGTCAGGGCAGCCCTGCCCTTCCCCCCTGCACCCAGCAGCCATTTTCCCAGCCTCCCCATTTCCCCACCCCACTGCCCTGTAAGGGTAGATTTTACAAGAAGTAAATCTTCCGGAAGATTTTATGAGACTAGGGTATTTCACTTAAGAAACCTTTCCTGCCTAGAAGGGGGATCTTCCCCCACAGGGAGTTTTAGATGTTTTCCTCCATTCCAGAGAAAAACTCCCTGGTATGAGAAAAGGTAAGTTGTACAGACGTGTCGAAGGCCCCCACAGAAGGGGAGTGCCAGGGATGATAAAAGCCCTGAGAAGAACTGGGGGGAGTGTCTTGCCCAGGGCCCGGTGTTTGAAACTCCGATAAGATTAATGTTCTTTTAAGTCTACAGTTCTCGACTTCGGAAATAAATTTTCCTACAATCCCTCCCACTACCTGGCATTTCGGGGGTTCCTGCGCGTTATCTCACTTCACATGCCCGCCCAGTGCCCCAGTACCCCCCATGCCCCTCGGTGTCCCCAAGTTCCAGTGCACCCCAGTAGCCCTCCCCGTTACCCGTTCGTTACCCGCCGCACACCGACCTTGAGCCGCAGCCGGTGGAACAGCGGGGTCAGCCCGGTCCGGTCGGCGCTCGGCTGGAGCTGCAGCTCCTGCAGCGGGGTGCGCCGGGGCCGCTTCTGCGCCTGGGCGGACATCGTGGGTCACCGGCAGCACCACCGGCAGTGCCCCCCCTCCCCATACCCCCCCACACACATACACATACACATACAAACACACCGGGAGCGCTCCGGGCCGCCCCGAAAACGCCACCGCCCTCCCCAGGACCTCCCCCCTCTCCGCCCCACCGGATCATCCAAACCGCCCGCCAGCCCCGGCCCGCACTCACGGCGGGCGTCCTGGCGGCCTGCATGGCCCGGGAATGGTCCTGGCCCAGCTCACGCTCTCGGGCCTGCTCTCCGCCTCGGCACGGGCCCCGCCTGGGCGTGCTCGTGTGCCGGTTCCCGGCGCGGGCCCCTCTCGGGTGTGTTCCCGGGTGTGTTCCCGGGTGTGTCCGTGTGCCGGTCCCCGGGGTGGTCCCGCCGCCCGCGCGCCGCCGGTTTGAACACCAGGCGCGCCTCTGATTGACTGCGCCGCGCGCGCGTCACCGCGGGGGCGGGGCCTGCGCAGAGGCCGCGCCCACCACCGGAAAGCCCCGCCCACCCCACCGCGCTGCGCGGCGCCGGGCACGGATGGACAGACAGACGGACAGACGGACGGGGGCACTGATCCAGCTCCCCCCCAGCGCCCACCTCTGCCGAAACATCTTTACACGCCACACCTCCCCCAGATCTGGCCCAACATCGACCCGAAGGAGCAGGGGGTCCAGTCCCGCGACCCGCCGCGGTGGTCGCGCTTTTCCCCCACGGGCGTCCCGCAGAAATCAGGGCAGCACCTTCAGCAGTGCCCGCGGCTCTCGGGTTTATTGCTCCCGCGGGTAGAGGTACAGAGTTGAGGTACCTGGGGGTGAGGTTGGGGGGTACCCGGGTACCCCGTGGGGGACCCGGCCCAGCAGGGTCCGACCCGCTGCCGGGGTGGGGAATGTCCCTGAGCGATGCCGAGGGTCCCAGCCATGGTGGCTCAGCCAGGCCAGGGCCGGTCCGGGGGGTCGGCGAGGTCGTAGTCAAAGTCGGCGAAGGTGGCGGGGTCGGGTGGGGACTGCTCGCGGGGTTGCGGGGCCACTGCCACCACCACCGGGTCCTTCTGCAGCAGGTCAGCGTCGAAGGCCACTCCACGGAAGAAGGGGTGGCCCTGGAAGTGGTGGAGGTAGCGCAGGCGGTACAGGGGGTTGTGGCACAGCAGCTGGAGAACAGAGGAAGGACAGTGAGTGGTGGGGACCCTAGCATCCAGAGGGAGCCCCAAAATCGAGGCAGGAGGGTTACCTCAGCAAGCAGCCGGGCTAGCTCGGGGCTGAATGCAGGTGGGCTCTCATAGCTGCTCTGTTTGACACGTTCCAGCATGGCCACGTGGTCCCCCGCCGGCGCCACAGGGAACTGAGGGGAGCGTGGAATGAATTCTGGGTCTCCCTGTGTGTCCCTGATCCCCCCACCACACTGTAGTACTCACCTCCCCGCTGGCCAGGGCGAAGAGCAGGACTCCCAGGGACCACCAGTCGGCTGCATGGCTGTAGGGTCCCCCACTCAGCACCTCTGGGGCTGTGGGGATGAGTGGGTGAGCGCCTGGGGGGGGGGGGTTGAGCCCCCCACCACAGCCCCCCTCTGCCCCCTTACCCATATACTGCAGGGTGCCACAGATCGTGTGGGCTCGCTCGCCCCATTGCAGGTACCGGGAAAGGCCGAAGTCAGTGAGCTTGAGGTGCCCTGTGGGGGAACCCACAGAGAAGTTGTCCCCATGGAGAGGGTGTCCCCATGGAGAGGATGTCCCCAAGGCAGTGCCACCAATCTCTTACCTCTCTCATCCAGGAGGATGTTTTCCATCTGAAATGAGACAGGCACTGAGGTGGTTTCTCCATACCAGGGGTTCAGAGACCCCCCCCCCCAGCCCATCCCCCAGTCCCCAGCCCTGCTGCCACCCACCTTCACATCTCTGTGCATGATGCCCAGGTCGTGGAGGTACACTGAGGAGAAGACAGAGCCATCAGTGCCACGTGACCCTTCCCAGCACAGTGCCCACTGCCACCCCCAGGGCACCTGGCAGGCAACTGCCCACCTGGGGGGATGGCTGACCCTACCTGTGGGTCCCCATTGGTGGGGACAGTGGTGGCTGTCCCCGGCATGGCAGGTCACTCACCCAGCACCAGCACCAGTTCAGCAGCAAACAGGCGGACGGTGGCCTCGGCGAAGCAGCCGGCGGCGCGCCAGAGCGCGTGCAGGTCCCCAGTGCTGCAGTAGGTGCACACTGCCGGGACAAGGGATGTACCTTACTGATGGGCTGTCACACAGGGCCAGGCTGGGGACACCAGGGTGGCATGGGCACAGGAGTCCACAGGGGTAACTGTGGCCATGCACCCAGGTGACACAGGCACCACGGCCATGCACCGAGGTGATGGAAATGCTGGGGTTATAAAGGCAGCGAGGTGGCACAAGCACCAGGGCAATATGGGCCCTAAGGTGACAAAGGCGTGACTAAGGTGACATGGGAGCATGCGAGTACTGGGGCCATGTCCCATGGTGACGTGGTCACCAGAGCCATGTGGGCAGCACTGTGGCCACACAGGTACCAAAGTGACATGTTCCTTGGGGTCACACAGGCACTGGGAACATGCAAACCGTGCAGGGACTGAGGTGACACATCCACCACGACCACCGAGGCCAGGTGGGCACTGGGGCTCAGGTGTTTTGTTCACCCCCACACCGGTCCCTGCCCCACTGTGGCTTGTTTCCATCCCTGTCCCCCTATTCCTGTGCCTGTGGTGGGTGCGGGGTGGGAGATGGGAGCCGGCAGCCAAGCTCCTGGATCCCCACGGGGCAGCGGCTGCGCGGGGGGAGCGCGCGCGTGTGCGGGGACACGTGTGCGGGCTGCAGGGACACGTGCACGGGCAGGGGGGGCCGGGGCGAGCCCGCGGGCAGATGGTCACTCACTGATGAAGAGGTGGCGCTGGCCCTGCCAGCTGTCTCCCAGCCCGTGGACAAACGGGTGCCTGACCTGTCTCTGGGGACACAAAGCAGAGAGGGTGAGCGGCCCCCGGGGTGGGGGACCAAGGGGGGAGAGGGGACCCCGCTTCTGCCTCCTTCCATCCACAGCCCCCCACAGCCTCCTCATGTCCCCATGGCCACCATGAACCCCTCCACGGGCTGAGTTCCCTCCTGGATCCCCCCTTAACCTGTATGCTGACTTCTTCCTTGCACTGCTTGAGGGTGTCACGGCGCAGCACCTCCACTTTGGGCACGACCTGGGGGGCAGTGCAGGGCTGTCAGAGGAGGGGCAGGGGCAGCTGAGGGCACTCCATGGGCCCCGGGGGCAGCACCCACCTTCACAGCACAGACTTTCTCCCTCCCACAGTCCAGCACTTTGAGGATGGTCCCGAAGGAGCCTTTGGCCACGAAGCCCAGGATCTGGGGGGGGTGGAAGGAGGAACAGGGTCTGAGCACTCCATGGAGATGGGCTTGGGGTGCTCAGAAAGGGGGTGCTGCAGGGGGGAGGGTGTGGGCACAGAGCACGGTGGGCGCACATGGGGACCAGGAGGACTCAGTAGGGACCCCAGCAGGATACATGGGAACCCGATGTGAGGCACAGGGACACGGGGGACCGGGACAGCGGTGGATATTGACAGAATGCACAGGACCCCAGTACTACACGCGGGATCCGGGTAGGATGCAGAGGAACCCCGGTGGGACACACAGAGACTCGATATGGGGCACGAGGACGTGGCGGGGGTAGAAGGGGACCCGGTGCGACGGCCGGGGACACCGGTAAGGATGCACAGGGATACGGTACAGCGTGCGGGGAGAGCTCGGCAAGACGGTCGACGGTGCCGGGTTGGTGGCACGGAATGCACGTACGGCACAGGAGGATGCTCAGGGCGCTGGGGAACCCCGGTAGGACGTGCAGGAACCCCGATAGGACGAGCAGGAATCCCAGTACAGGATGCGAGGGGACCCGTTAGGGCGCCCGGGGCTGCCAGGGCAGGATGCGGGATGCGCGGGCGCCCCAGGAGGACGTTCGGGGACCCCGTTCGGATGCACCGGGACCCCGTTCGGAGGGTGGGGGCCCCGGGACGGCACCTTGAGCTGCTGCTGGCGGGCGGAGGGGCGGACGGGGAACTCCGGCAGGAACAACGAGACGAGCTGCGGTAGCGGCCACCCGGGCAGCGGCGGCTCCTCGGCGGGGCCCCGCGGGGCCAGGGCGAGCCCCGGTACCGGCACTGGTACCGATACCGGCATCGACCCAGCGCGGCTCAGCAGCGCCCGCACCCACGACCCCACGGCGCGGCCCTGCGGAACCGGGGACAGCGTCACCCAGGGGATCCCGGGGCGGGGGATACCCGGGGGGACCCCTCGGGATGATGCCGCCGCACGCACCTGGGGGGGCCGCACGGGGGCCGGGGCCGGGGCCGGGCCGGGGCCGCTGCTCGTTGCTCCCATCGCGGCGCCGCCCGGCCGCGCCCCGGGCCCGGTCCCCGGTAATCGCCGCCTTACATAACCCCGCCGCCCCGCCCCGCCCCGCCCGCCGCGACCACCCCCCGCCCCGGGACACAGCGGCAGTGCTGCCCTTTGCACCGCGACACCCACCCGTGAGCGATCCCCCCACCGCTCTGGGGTTGCTCACCCACCCGTGGCTGATCCCGCCCCTTATCTGGGACCCCCACCCCCTAACACACACTTGGGTTGCCAGCGCTCCCTGTGACTGATCCTGCCCTCACTCCAGGACCCCTCCTTGCACACTTCAGGGCTCCCCCTTCAACCTTTCCTTTGCACCCCACTTGCTGCGGCGCTGAGGGGGTGCCTGCAGCCCACACTGAGCCCTGGCATGGCCCCAGGCACTGATGGGCTCATGGGGACAACCTGAGAGGGCTAAGCGTACAGGCTGAGCCCAGGGCAATGCAGGGGTGCCCTGAGCCCCTAAAGTGGGTTCCCCGAGAAACTCCTGAGGAAGGGCAAGGGATGAAGCCCCCACATAGGGGGTGCTCCTGGGC